AAGTGGTCTGTTGCATGTCTCTGGTTCTTGCCCTGGTCTGGGTAGAATGCCCTTTGATGAATGACCGTAATCTTTTCGTCCTGCCGTTGCAACTATAAAGAAGAAGAGAATAAAATATCGGTTTTTTAGGAAACGAAATAGAGTGATTATATTTTATTTTAAGAGAAAAATTATCAATAGAGACAGTTTGGTCGAGTGGTCTAAGGCGCCAGATTTAGGCTCTGGTCCGAAAGGGCGTGGGTTCAAATCCTACAGCTGTCAAGTTAATTAATTATTATTATTTTTTTATTTTTTCAGTGTGTCGGCACTTATGTTCTTTGCAGTCTCCGGAATACTTTTGATCGAGAGAAAAGCACTTATATCAATATCTCAGTTCACAAATCGGTTCATCAAAACGATGCATTGCTGCACCACAGCATCAATTTCGCACCAAATGTATATTTCAAGTATTCCAGAATCCATATGACAATTCCTTATGGCATAAGGATCGATGATATTGTTATATATGACGTCAAATTATACTATTTATATATATATATAAATAACAAGAGAAGCTACCACTATTGATGACAGTTTGGCCGAGTGGTCTAAGGCGCTAGGCTCCGGTCCGAAAGGGCGTGGGTTCAAATCCCACAGCTGTCAATTTATATAAATATATTTTTTTTTTTAAAATGCGTGTGTGGTGATTTGGCACTTCATTTGTCGCTTGATGTATTTCAGCATACACATTGTTAGTGAACTTTTACGCTCGAGAGGTGAGGGCGAGTGTCGGATGGTTCGAGCATCGTCCTCCGAGCATGGTATTCTCTCTTAGTGAGTGTCGGGTCAGGGTCCGAGCGTGGTCTTCTCTCTTAGCGAGTGTCGGGTCAGGTTAGGTTCGAGCCTCATCTCCCGAGCACGGTCTTCTCTCTTAGCGAATAGCTTGCTTTTGGTAGAATAAGAGAGAGTTCTGTGTTTGAAGTGACTCTCCCTCCTGATTAAGGAGGGTTAGCTTTTATACCTGTGGGGATGAGTTGGTCGTACGGGGTCAATTTGCTGTGGTCGGCTCCTGAGGCGACGGTCAACTAAAGCTTCTGTATAAGCGTTGATCGACTACATGGATCGGTGTCGTGCGACACCACCCCGAGCTTTCAGGATAGTTGTACCATGATGATGTCGTTCGTACGGAGGGGGCACAAGTGGCTGCCCACCACATGTGTGCTGGGCGCTACATCGTACTTGAGGTTTCACGTCTGCATCGTTTTTTTTACCTTTTGGTTGGTATTTTGAAATTCTATTTTAACATAATCTTTGATGTTTTGATTTTGACTAATATTTTTTTTAATTTTGATTTTGACTAATATTTTTTTTTATTTTGATGCTTTCCGTGCCCAACTGGCGCTGTATGGAACGTTTGACGCTTTAATGTGCAGGGCGTGTCCCATGACCCTGAGGGGGCCAGCCCTCATGTGGTACGGCGGCCTGAAGACCAGATCGATCACTTCCTTCGGCCAACTCGTCAAGGACTTCGAGCTCCACTTCGCAACCCATGCCCGGCCGAAGCCCTCCGCGGCGCTGCTCCTCGGATTCAAACAAGGAGAGGACGAGCCCCTCTCACATTTCGTGGATCGCTTTGCCACGCAAATCCGGAGCTTACCGGACACTCACCCCTCTCTATTAGTGCAGGCGTTCATGGTAGGCTTGCGACCTTCCAGATTCTGCTGGTCCCTCGTAGAGCGACCCCCCACCACAGTACCAGATATGCTCCAACGAGCCAACCGGTATGTCACGACGGAAGCTTGGGTGACCGCAAGGAAGAGGAGCGACTCTAGGCGACGGGCCCCATAGCAGTGGTCAAGCACCCGCGGTTGCTATCCGGTGTAATCCTCGTGCAAGGAATCTAGCCCCTTCCTCAGTCTCTTTCAAGCAAAGGCTCCATGTTTACCTGACTACCTCTTGGCTCACGGTTAGCTTCGGTCTAACCTCCCTCTTTTTTGCATTCGCACGGCTCGGTCGTAGACGGCCGAGTCCACCTCAGCGCGGCCTACCCGCTTGAGCCATGCTCCTCGGCCGCATAATGCCCGAGGCCACCTCCTCGGCCGCGTAATGCCCGAGGCTACCTAATCGGCCGCATAATGCCCGAGGCCACCTCCTCGGCCGCGTAATGCCCGAGGCCACCCCCTCGGCCGCATGATGCCCGAGCCCACACCTGCGCGGTCCGTCCGCTTGCGTCATGCTACTCGGTCGCATGACAATCGCGACCACGCCTACGCGGTCTGTCCGCCTACGTCATGATCCTCGGCCGCATAATGCCCGAGACCACACCTGCGCGGCCAGCCCGCTTGCGTCGTGCTCCTTGGCCCCATGTTCCCGAGACACACTTGCGCGGCCAGCCCGCCTGCGTCGTGCTCCTTGGCTCCATGTCCCCGAGACACGCCTGCGCGGTCAGTACGCCTGCGTCGTGCTCCTTGGCCCTATGCTCCCGAGACACACCTGCGCGGCCAAGCCCGCCTGCGTCGTGCTCCCCGGCCCTTCGGCTCCATGTTCCCCGAGACCTCGTCCGCGCGGCCAGCCCGTCTGAAGACAAAAGCCATGCATCAGACTCCTCTTATACAACAACCGATGCACAGCTCCTTTCGGAGGGGGGGGGAATATGATAAGGGTAAAAATGGCGATGTGACATGCCATGACGTCAGTCATGCCTGGACAACACACTGTCCGAGGAAGTCGGCATTAACACCTAACTCAGGGTTGGTTCTTCACGCCACGCCAACCCCTTGTCAGACGCTATCAGCCTGCCTCCTGCAAGCAGCCACATCAGGTAACATCAAGCTCATCTATAAATACCCCAGAGATCTAAACGAAAGGGGGGGACGAACTCACACACAACACTTGTATGGAGGCATCTCTTCCTCCAAAACCCTCTCCGCGTCGCTAACTTGATCATCGGAGGGGTCGGGCCGAGCTCCCGGCCCGACCTGTGTGCAGGTGCGAGGCGGTGTCACCTCTTCCCGGCGTTGCGATGGAGGTGCCTCCCGACCCGACCCGCCGACCCGAACCGCCGACCCGAACCGTCGACCCGACCTGCCGACCCGACCTCCCGACCCAAACCACCGTGCTCGGCCTACGGGAGACCCCGAGGGACGGAGCCCGAGATCCCCGACATCCGGACCCCCGAACCGAGCCGCGACGGCCCCGAGGCCACGGCTTAAACAGATGCCCCCCGCATCAACTTGGGCATTGGATTGGCCGAGATGCAACTCGGGCATTAGAATGGTTGTGAGGCATGGTCGGGGCGTTGGAATAGCCGAGATGCAACTCGGGCAATAGATTGGTCGTGAGGCGTGGCTTGGGCGTTGGATTGGCCGAGATGCGACTCGGGCATTAGATTGGCCGCGAGGCGTGGCTCGGGCATTGGATTGCCCGAGATGCACTAACGAGGCATTGTTTGGCTGAGGTGCACCATTGAAGCATTGTTTGGCCGAGGGCCAAGGTGCACCATTGAGGCACTATTTGGCCGAGGTGCATAACTCGGGCACTGTTTGACCGACATGTACCATTAAGGCACTTTTGGGCCGAGGTGCACTAGTGAGGCATTGTTTGGCCGAGGTGCACAACTCGGGCACTATTTGACCGAGGTGCATTATTGAGGCACTGTTTGTCGAGGTGAACAAATCACGCATTGTTTGACCGAGGTGCACCATTGAGGCAGTGTTTGGCCGAGGTGCTTCACTCGGACGT